CAGAAAGAGATGCTCTTGTGGCTGATGACATCAACACTGCTACAGAGGACACTGAAGTCAAGAGGAATTCTGTTGACTCCCTGCCTGGCAATTTCTCCTCTCCTGAATCAGTCTTGGAGGCTACACCCATGGGATTTCTGAACCTGGGCTTCTGTGAAGAAGATTCATCCCAGGGGTCAGATATTCCCAGTGACCAGCCCCAGGTGGCACCCATGACATCTGTATCCAGGCCACTCAGGATCTGGAAACTGGTGAGGAAGCAAATGTCCCATGCACTGAGAGCACTGTGCTGCTGCTGTTGCTGCCTGCCCACCCCAAGGTGAGCCCTGAACCCTTGCATCACGGGTTCAAGGATAAGAGGCGACAGTGGAGACCTACATGGAGACCAGTTAGATGTGCCACATAGATGAATTCCTACATTGTATTTTCAATATACTATTTCAATATCCTTTCTAAATGAAAAGTTGTACCCACTCAGAGGGCCCAGAATTTCAGATATGTGGTACATTAGATGGCAAATTCACAGCTTCCTGTTCATGTAAAGTCCTAGAAGCCTGAGGCAAAAGCAGGTAGCATCGCATGGGGACCACAGCATGGGAAAGGAGGAGAGTTTAGCTAATTGGGGCAAAGGTTCAGAAAGGAGAAATCAGGGGAGGAATATGGCACAGAACTTTTATCTGCCAAAGTCACTAATAGAGGTGCTTTCATGTTTCTTTCTGCTTTGAAGTGTGGAAACTGAAATGGTCCAATAGAGTTCCAGAACTGGTGAGGAGCCACAGAAGGGACCCAAGACAGATCGCCAGAGTGCCAGCTCCCTCCAACACAGAGCAACAGGCTCCTGCCTGCATTAATCCTCCAGCTATTGGGTCTGAGCTACCAATCTGCATCTCTTTCAGCTCAATTCAGCTTCAGAGCTGTTGTGGGACAATTGGGGGTCATAAGGCACATGGACCCCATGACCCTCTACCTTCCTAGCTTTGGTTGTGCTTGTAGGACCACTCACACTGCATCGAAAACAGCAACCTCTACAACCAGGAAGGACTTCATACCAATCACGGCTGCTCATCATCTTGGTCACTTTAACCCTCCAACTTACTCTGTGACTGCCTTATGGACAAAACAGCAAGACCTGTATAAGTCCTCTGGAGAATGGAGGTGGGTGAAAGGAGATAAAGAGGACTAATTGCGAAGCAATTTTGAGACAGGAATAGGGGACAAGAGAGTTGGTGCAGAATAAGGAGTACAGTCTGTCCTGAGGTACTTCCGGTCAAAAAAGTACATGAAAGAGATGTGTGTGTTTCCCTGTGACAGGGGCCGTGCACAGTCTACAGCAGGAACAAACCTCCCCTCAAGTGCAGACTGGGAGGGAGCTAGGAATAGCCAACAATGAGGAGGAGAGGGCCTGCTCTGATGGTTCCTAGCATGTGTCAAGACACACAAGTAGGATGTTGTCTTGGAAATAACATCCTGTTCTTTCCTACAGATCTGAGGTATACCAGGAGAAAGATGCAGCACTATTGGTCAGTGGAGTCCCATCCTCTTCAGTGCTGAGTAAGTCCTGTCTGTTAAAGTCACTAAGAGAGGCACTTTCTTTATTCTTTCAGGTTTTATTTGGGGAAAGTGAAATGCTCTACTTGACCTACAGTCTTGGTGTGGTGTAGTGCAATAGGCAGGATCAAGGCTGGAAATCTGTGTCCTGTATGATGATATGTTAGGGCTACAGGTTCCAGTATCCATCCTCCAGGTTAGGGTCTCAGCTGCCATCTTCCCCATTCTTCACCTCACTGCTGCCCCTGAACTGTGGCTGAACATCCCTGAGAGTCACATGTTGCATCAACCCAATGAATGTCTACATCTGTCCTGGTTCCTGTGGAATCAGGGTTCCATGGCATCTAAAAGGGCTGCCTCTGTCAACAGGACAGAATGGCACACAGGTCTCAGGCTTCCCTCTTCTTTGATTCCTTCATCACCTCCAAACTGCTTTCTGACTGTCTTTCAGAAGAACTGCAGGAACTGTAAATCCAGTGAGAGAAGGGAGAATGGAGATAAGGGGGAGGAACAGGGGAAAGGAGGTGTAGAGGATGAAGAGGAAATGAGAGGACCTGTAGAAAGGGGTAGACTCTGTCCAGAGGAGCTTACCTGAAATGAGTGGAGAAAAGGAGGTTTTGCTGGGGCAGGCATTGAAGAAGTGAGACCAGGAATAAATGTCTCAAACAGAGCAAAATGTGACCTCAGATTTATAGCCAGCAATGAGGAGGAAGGCCTTGATTGTGATTGGCATATGTAAGGTAGAGAACTATGAGGCTGCTTTGGAAGGGATTCTGATTCTGGGCTATTGAAGAAGGGTGTTGCAAGAGAAGGGTGGCTGCATCATGCAGTGGGGTCCTCTGCTGGTCTTGTCTG